TAAGGGCCATGACAGATAGCCAAGGGGCCCATATTCTTCATCTGTGAGAACTTTAACAATCATACAGTAATTCAGTATTTCTCTTACAGTTTTATGCCAATTTTTTTGTCAAATATAGTGCTTGAAAATTTTAAATCTTGATGCACATAAAACATTCAGAAATTATAGAGGACATTTGTAAAGAGTACGTATATAGAACAATATCTCTCTCTCTTTGAAATTAGTTAATTTTATGAATGTTTTTTTTATTACAAACATTCTTTAACAAATGCTCTTTCAAGATTTGACATTTGCTGACACACCTGACACAACTGTCAGATAAAATTATGCGCATGAATAAAAAAAATCTGCTCTCCATCCAAGAAAATCTGACCGCCATTTAAAAAAAGGTTCCAGCGATTACCATTTGACACCCGTTGCATTTTGGGTGATTTCCCCGCGCCTGGTCGCATGCAAGGTTTATTTTTACCCCACCGGCTCAGCAGTACAGTAGTCCCCAGTCTGATACGTCGCTTCACAGCAGAAGGTGAATCTAAGTCTCAGTCAAGCAATGAAAGAGTCTAGCATGAAAACAAATAGCACAATTACTGATACTGAAGGTCTACCGTCCAAAAACACCGTAATGGCACCAAAGAATCCAGATTGGACTGGAACATTAACAAACTAATACATTCAGTTTACAATCCCGAAAAAAAACAATATATCCACACAATAGGCCTACTTTCTTGTTCTTATTTCACCTTTATATTGCTCGATAATTGTGCAGCATTCCTTTGGGATAAGACTTAAATGCACTACAGATTCCCCATCGTTTATCCCTTTGGCAACACTAAAAAGTTGCAGGAACTGATTAGTTCCTCTTTCACAGGGCCTTTAATTAAACACTGAAAAGCTTCTTTACCTTTTACCGGTGTGATCCATTCTGTAGCGCTGGTCACCCTCGACGGACTTTCAAGACCATATGGATAAGGCAGTTGCTGAAAAGACGTGTAGTTAAACTGTATGGTTTTAGAGAAATGAAAAATAAAGCAAAATTTAGCAGAGACAGTCTTGAAGAAGTGACACAAAAATGAACAGGCATGAAAACCCTGAGAAACAGTTAAACCAACTCTATAAGAACCCACTTTTATACGTCAAAGTGCGTTTGTCATCAAGTAGCCTAATATTACCGGATCCGGTAATAAATAGGACCAAATACACAACAGTCCTCACCTTTACGACCAGCGGAGGGTATAATGTATGTATAATGTCTCCCTGGAAGTAGACAGGCTACCGGAGCGAATTGCCTTTCCCAACTCGCTAGTTGCTAAGCCTGCGCCCATGAGCTCATTTGTGTTTCGGCAAACAGGTGTCCAGCCTTAAAAATAACCAATTGCATCATCCGCCCCTGTGTCATCCACTCGTTATAGGAAAAGAGTTACTCTGTGTTAACCAATGGCATGTAAATACCGGCGCTGATTATGAAGGAAAGACTCTCGGCGTTTTACTACTGCGGAGAGTGCGCAAACCGGCGCGGACATCGGAGAGAAGGTGAGCTTGCCTGGACCATCATAATGAATTATAACTCAATATTTTTCGTTACAGTGCCAATACAAAAGTTTAGTACCCATGCATCCATATTTGGAGTATTAGAGTTCGAAAACCTGAAAACTTATAATCATAATCAGGAGTTCATACATCGTTTATATATACGAAAATTATAGCGAGATTTGCAGCAATTCAGCATTTTGAGTTTACGCTTGTTATTCTCATAAACCCGGCCTTTGTTTTTTTTGCCACCAATGAAAACTCCAGAGATAAGTATGTTTTAATGATTCCAAATGGGAATTATTGAAATTTGGCGTGACATACGCCGGCTGTGACAGAAAGAAAGGTCATTACCATATGAATTACGGGTCTACAAATAGAATTTATTAGCGGAGCACCTGTGCTGAGCTGGACGGAATAGGAGTTCGTTAATCTCTTGTCCCAAAAGAGGACTGTTTAATGTGTATTTTTAAAGTTAATTTGTATTTTGATTTAAGATACCAAAATTAAATTCATTTATGTTTTCTTGATATTGATATTGATTGATATTGTCTCGCCTAAATGCAATGTCGAGACGCATTTTTTTTTTCTACATTTCTCTCACCGGCCTGGTACGTCACTATCGATAAGAGATGCGGTGTCTACCAATAGAATAACCTTTATCACTGATATGTCATTCTTGTAGCAGTGGTTGAGTATGTTAAGCGTCAGAATTCGAAGCAATTTGAAGATCAATAGAATTTGGTGGAATTGTTCTTGCTTGCTCTCTGAGATCACTTACCTCGGAGAGGATCACTCCAGTGACCCGACGGCAGAAATGGCTTTCCTGTTGGCCGCCACCTCATTGCCTTATTCTGGGAGAAGGCTGCGCTATAATAGGACATTGGCCTCGCAGCAGTTTCTCAGGAGTCCTGACTTCCGTGGACCCAAGGCTGTCGTTGGTGATGGACACCCACACCTGCACTAGGAGATGGCAGGAGGGCTGGCCATCATTCACGGCCGCGGACCGACTCAGCGCTGCTTGCTGCCGCCTCTTAGTGAGGGCAGGCGAGTCTGTTCCTGACTGCTCTTGGCACAGCTGGGATTCGACTTAAACTGACCGTTCCTAAGTGACCCCCCCTCCCCCCTTCCCTCCCTGTTGTTTCAGCGCTGGAAGCCAGCAGAGATGAATTACCCAGCCGCATCCACCAGCTGCACCCAGACACTCAACACGGGTGACTTAAGGACAGAAGACTCAAAGTGTGCCTTCCTTACACTAAGTGTCTGGGCGTCTCAGCATTTTCATTAGTGTTCCATTATCTACCCACTAGAATCGAACAATAAAAACTAAGTTCTTGTATGTTCTGTTTTAATACTTGGATTGTAAGGCTGACATTTGGACCACATATCTTCAACTTCATAGAGGGCCTGAAAAATATTGCATGCAGGGTAGAGTTTATGGAAGCACGGGGCACGTTTTCGGTTGGGGACCTGTTTGTGCGCGGCGAAAGATAGTCTTACCGCACAACCCAGTCGTTGGTATCACACGACCCAGTTTGAGGTCCAGGCAACAGTGTCACGGGAGAGCTCCAACCTCGCCAGACCAGGGTTATTTTAAGAAGATGGGGGGGGGGGGGCTTCTTGCAATTCTGTGTATCACGAGTTTGCATTCTAATTTACCATTATCGCCTTCTTCACTCGAGGACACCACATTTTTACATACCCTAAGCATGGTTTTGCTACAAACAGAGTCAACAAAGTCACATAGTTCAAACGTAAAATAATTTATGGATTCATCCACCGATGTCTTTTATATTGTCTCACAAGTTGATGCAATATTACAATATCTTAACACTTCATTGAAATCTAAATTTCCGTCATGTGTCTGTCGCACGGTTTCACTCATGTTGTCATACTGGGGGTGCAGTAACTTCAGCGGACCGCGGGTGTCATCTTAAGAACACACATGCTAAAATCACAACCCAATGACGCAATGTTTGAGTGCCATGTTAAACAATGCAGCCGGATTCAGTTCATTTTCTGTTTTATTAATGGCTACATTAGACCACAAAGTAGCCTACTGCATTTTTTGTGTCGCATTTACCTGTAACCCGACTGTTTTCATCAATCCTTCTGACTTTTTACGTGCTTAAACTGAGAACGTCACCCAGATCGCACTACGTCATTGTTTCAGCGTTGAATTATAGTTAAATGCGTTGCATTATGGTCAGTGTTAAATTATCTACGTTGAAACTGAATTGATTTTTGGTCAGATTTTCAATATTGGAAAATTGATGACGGCAAAACCTTGATTCAATGTTGATATATAATGTGAAACATTGAAGATGAACGTTGTTTCAACCTTTTTGTCTGATATGGAATCGATGTCATTTCAACATATGTGTGATATCTAGGGAGAGGGGCCGTGTTTTGTAAAGGGATTGTATGACTCCATGCTACCCAGAACATAAAATGTGCTTGATTAGGTCTACAGGTCTGCAGTGGTAAGCAGTATTAAAAACAGAGTCTTGAAATGTTATCATTTGTACGACTAAGTTTAATATGCGCCATATTGCGTACAAACGAATTTCTCAGTATTTTCTTCTGACTGGAGAACCCACTGGATGTTATTTTGGTCTTGCGAAATAATGACATTACATTGACTACGCAGACCTAAGCCACACCCGAAGATTAAATTTGCAAGTCGAATCATTTGCGGAACTGACCGGCGACAACAAAAGTTGTGCAAAGCCTGATGTTACATAAGGACACGGTGTCTTCCAGCACATCACACCTCGTCACATTACCCCACATCACAGTGCTAAGCCCAGTATTAAGCGATCACGGTGACTATGCATTAACCTCAGATCATCTAATACATCATTACCCAACGTTAGAAAACAAACAACTGACGCTGCAGTTTTCTTTTACTAGACACTGAAATTTCATCACGTGTTTGAGTTTCGCCATCTTTAGTCAAGTTGTGGAAACCGGGTCTTTTAGCCTTTGAAAGACACAATAAACTTAATTTCTTATGTTATGCACACTAAAGTTGCACCCACGAGTATTGAAGGACAAGCGGACTGAACCCGGCTCCTTTCATGCATATCTTCTCAAGCGTTTCGTGCTGTTGACAACAGTGTGTCAAATGGCAAATCATGTGCTAATGTTTACCCCCACTACCTATCTCCCCCGCAGACCCCACTCTAGTGCTATTTCGGGCCGAGCGCGTCGGCAGCGGCACTTCTTGCAGCTGCAGCCCAGGGCGCTTCGACTCTCCAAAACACGTCGATGGGCCGCCTGAAATAATCCCGCCGGCTATTAATTTACCGCCGAGGCTTTACAAGGTCAAAACAATGCAGGCTTGAGTATCTGGAGAAGGCGACAGCTGTGAGTCCGACAAGCGCTTCTCAGATCACGCCCACTGCCACACATCTGCCAAACTCCCGTTTCAAACATAACAATGTATGGGTTTTGCTGGCAACAGAAACAAATGAAACGCCGATGTTTTCTTGCTGGCGATTTGTGGGTGACTCCAGTTTTATAACTTTGCTAAATCGCCACCTTAAGTGCTAATATTTATATCACACCGCGTGCCAGCCAGCGTGCGTGAACGCCGTGACATCCTCGCAAACCATCTAGGGTAAAGTAAGGACACCTCCCTTTGCTCCTCATGTACCCCTAAATAGGCTGCGCTTTCTGCGAGCTTTAATGCTGAATGGGTCTTACTGTGCTCTTTAAAATGAGCATGCGTCATATGTAGAGTGTCCTGTAAGTGTCTTAGGTCTGTTATTTACATTTACGTTAAAAAAAAAAGCAATTGCGCATATAGTACACTAGCCAACAATAAATAAATCACTCTAATCTTTGTTTAGACCTATATATTCGGACATGGCGTTTTACTTATTTACGCAACTGTATTTTACTGGAGAAATTCCCACACTTTGATATAACAATTGAACTGATAAATTATGGGTTACGGCTTAATGTGCTGAACAATGACACTTCTTGCCAGAGGGAGCCGCTAGAGATTTTGGACACCATGAGAGCAAGCCATACTGGCCCCCCGACTCAGACCAATCCAATTAGGCTCCAAATTTTAGGGCCCCTGTCAGCAAGGGACGCTTGGAATCGTCCTTAGACCCCCCACCAGCGCCTCTTCTTCCTTATGACCCCGTACAATAAATGATGTTTTGGAATGCAACGCGAGTATTATAGTAAGTTAAACTGAGTGGGTTCTATGAAAAATCAACAGAATAGATGAAAGGCTGTTTAAACTGTTTAAAGTCATATAAATTGCTCTGTAAATGATTATGATGTCACAAATGGAGCACAGAGTCCTATTTAAACAAAAACATAAGAGCTGCTACGCATTATATTTGTTGGTCGCTGTTTTGCGATCTTATCTTCGACCTAGTTTCTTTGCTGCACAGCCACAGGAAGTCTCTTGAGCTGATGAGCAGAAAGAGATTTCATTATCTTCCTTCAAGAGAATGTGCATAATGGTGGAGAAGCTGGCGTAGCTGTTTAAATGATGTTTAGTCATTCGGGATTTTGTTCCACTTGGATCAGCGTGTGGCTCATTGGTAAGTACTGAAAGAAATATCGCGTTCGTACATGTCTATCGCACTGGTGTACGAAGCGTGATAGGAAATACACAAGGAACAATGTGCAATGATTATTTCGGACTTGACTGTGAGTATTCTGCACACGTACATTTTACATCTGTAATATATTCTAAATTACGGCCACCCTGAAGTAGATTAACAAATCGTTCTCGATCGATTTAGACTGCAAGACGGCGGTTCCTTTATATGAATATGCCACTTGCAATATATTGTAATGAATATATTGTCATTAATGCCTATTATTATAAAAATTATTAGCACTTCCACTATCAGGACTGCTACTACTACACGTTACAGTTAACACGTAAACTGAAAGTGATGTAAGAGGGAAGATTACTAATTAACACCCATATCTGCTTACGGGACTTCATGTATGGTGTTTTTTCCCTCAAAATTCTCAATTTGTTAGAAAATGTAATTCCAGTGAAGAGATCTGGGGTAAACATGGCTCTTAAGGGTTACATTTCTTTAGGTGTTTATGCAGCATTACGTTTCCTGCTTTCGTTAGATCTTTCTCCTTTTTTCGTCTGATCTCAAACTTTGCAACTTGCAAATGATAAAACTAACACTACTTACACTGTAACACTTAGGCTACAGCTTACAGATCAGTAGGCCTACATCTTTCGCACCATTAAGTGTACAGATTGGGTGAAACAATTTTAGAATGTACTATCTTCATATAAAGGGCGTATTGCATTTCTTTGAAAGCTATCTGACGGACACGTTTACTAATAATCGTTCATAATTTGCAGATTTTTTGTTATCGAAGGCGCATGGAAATGACCCTAACAAATCTGATGAACCAGGTACGTTGGTTTTCTATGATGTTCGTTGACAAATTTGACCAAATGCACTCGCGGATTATTGTGCTTCGTTTCTGTTTTACCACGTGATGTACATTATTTTCTCCCCTAATACTCAGATGTTAAGTATGCAGCCATCGGAATTGGGATCGGACTATTCTTTTCCTTATGCTTTGTTGCCTTGAAGTTGTACATGCTTAGAAAACACATGCTAGACAATGAATTATCAGGTAAGACATCTCTATATGCTCCATTCTTTGTGTTTTCCTTGTGTGCTTGCAAAGAAAAATGCCTTGTTTTTGCAACGCAATCATCAAATTATCTTCTTCTTGTCCAGAGGCAGAATCAGATAAAAGACCACCATATATGAGGCAAGTGTCCTGTTTTTCAATGCTGTAATTATGCTTTGAGTATCTGTTAGAGTGTTCGTGCATCTTTGTTAAGAAAATGAAACTAAGTTTACTATTGTAAAAACTTGCATGACATTACACTTACTGGTGAAAATCATTTTCACATTTTTTTATAGCTGGATATTTAATAAACATTAATTTTGTAGGGGTACAACAGTAAACTCAGTTTGCATTTTGACAATTCTCTGGGCTAAAATTATTATTATCATTATTTAGATGCGGAAGCTATGCAATGGAGTCAAAGAAACATTCAAATGTTGTTGAATGAATGTAAAGTGTGACATGAAGTTCCAGAGAAGCCACTTTGTTCATTTTACTAGCCAGCAACAACAGAAGAAGGTCTGTGGACATTAGAGAAATATGAGGAAACATGAGAACTGGGACTGAAAGCTAATTATCTGGCTGTAATGTCTGGTCAGGCTGATCAGATAATCCCTGTAGGGGGGGGGGGGCTACTTCAGGTTTTACAGACTACCTTAAAACTGAAAGGCTCCTCTGCTTGGCTAATTACTTCCATTCTTCTTGTGGTTTCGTGTGTTTCCTTGATTGAAAGACTTGTCCAGCTGTTTCACATTAACATTAGTGACACAAGCATGATTATAGCAGACTGGCCAATCAGCACACAGCAAGAACTCAGTGCTAAAATGAAATCCAGGTCCTTTTAATTGACATGGTAGTTTACAAACCCTGTCATAGCTCATAGTGTCCCCCCTGACATGGATTATCTGGTCACTCAATGCGTGGCTTATCATCGTCAAGATTCACAACTGTCAGTGTTTATTATCAGTAACAGAAGTCGTTGATAATTCATCCACCTTATTGTGTTTGTCATTATCTGCTTATGAAATATTGAGTCAGTAGTATTTGTATGTTTTTTAAAATATGATTGAATAAAGTTTTGGGATACATTTTATGTAGGTGACTCAAGTTTTTTTTTTTTTTTTTTTAATCAGTTGAATAATTTTTGATAATAATGTCTATTTCTTTAATATCTCCTGTGGCCTGTACTACGAAGCGGGGTTACTGGCTTATCGGGGTAACTTGTTAGATTTAAGGTAGATTTAAGGTAGTCTGGGCAGAATGTAAGTGAGCGAATATGAAGTCCATTTAAACTGTGGTACCTTAAATCCGACAAGTTACCCCGATAAGCCAGTAACCCCGCTTCGTAGTACTGGCCACTGAATTATTAACTGAAGCTATAGTTTGCTGGTATTGCATGAATCACCATGTTATACAAATCAGAGCACTGTCTGCAGCTAGAGCTGCCACAGTCATAATACTCGGGGGAAATGTATATATGTATATGTGTGTGTGTGTGTGTGTATATATATATATATATATATATATATATATATAAATCAAATTCCACACGGTTGCCAACTTCGTGAACAATATGGTCAGCTATCTGAAGTACATTGGGAGAAAAGCGGATTGAACGTAAGGACACTCTATTCTATTAAGAAATAAATTTGCAGATGATATTCCTGATAGTATCGCGCTAAGTATTTTCTTCCTTTGATAAATGAGGGTATTGCGGATGACTTATACCAAGAGGTAAAAAAACCCACATGGGACAAAGCCTAAGAATGCCTTCACATGAAGGTAAGTTACAATCTGTAGGTCAGATCAAAAAATTCCGCCACAAACTTGCATGATGCTGTTATCAGTAGGTCTATTTACAAGTCTCATATAGCAACGAGATCTAGGGCGATTTCGTTGTTTTTTTTTTCTTTTACTTGAGCACAGAACATGCAGAGTAACTATATACATATGCACTGGTAGGTTAAAAAAACTTTATGTGTTCATTTTCATAGAGTAAATACAGCCTATAGCGTAATTTTATCACGTGATTTCAATTTCTCCCACTGTTAAACAGAAGATTTAAACGACCTCTCATCATTGTAATAGCATGATTACGGTTTCTAGGGAAATAAAATATTTATCGTCTGACCACACACAACCAAAAAACGTTGAAACGCAAAAGTAAACCGAAACCGGCATTTTTAAAATCAAGATTTAATTGGACTAAATTCCCCTAATGTGAAGCAGATGTGTAGGAGATAATTTGTTGGTAAACATTAAAACCGTTAAACTATTTAAAATGGGACAATCGCACAGTGACAGAGCTAATTGATTTGGTGCAAGACAGTGGGTGGTTCAGTGGTTAAGAAACAGGGCTTTGGGTCGCCGTAGAATGAAAGTCTGTCTCGGGAGCGCGCACCACTGAAAACAGCCAAAGGAAGGATGTTTTTGGTAACGTGTGCAAACGATCGTTTCTGTTTATGTAAACTTATAAAACGTATGTAACATAGAATACGACATTGTATTTAGTTAAATAGGGATATACAACATACAAAGAAATAAAATAAGTCGCGTTTATGAAACCAGTTTGTTACCTACTACTTAGGCTATGTCTCCATATTGTATTAAAAAACGTGCTTGATTCTGGGGTCAGTGCAAATGTAATGAGGAATGGGGTGTGAGGATATATTTCTCATGTATTTGCCAGGAAGCGCATGCCCTGTTTAATCTGGCAGCACGGTCATGACACCCTCACATATGTCTTTTTCAGCATCCCGTTGCCAGAAAATGCATCCCCAGTTTAATCTTTAAAGTGATTAGTTGTCATTGGTGACAAACCAACAATGAGATGAGTCCTTTACATTTTACCCACGTGACATAATAGCGGGCAGCTAAAACAGCGCCCAGCAAGCAGTGCTTGGGGGCGGTCCCCTGTAAGGGTACCAAGTGGTACTTTGCCGGTCAGGGATTTAAACCAGCAATTCTTAGATTATAAGAATTCCCTGTTAGCAGGGACGGATTACGGACCAGGCCAGCGGAGCGAACACGCGAACGTTTTGCCCAGGGGCCCACACAACCCATAATCCGTCCCTGCCTGTTAGGTCACCACTGCCGCGGCGGTAGGGTACTGTAGCTACACCTGTGAGACTTGCACAGGTTAGTTACGACACTCTCAAATACAAACTACAAAAAACACTTGATGAAGGGAGCTACAGAAATGCAAAATTAAAGGGAATACCTTTTTCCGCACCCTGCTGTCAGAATCTTCGTTTAAGGTCCTGGAATCAGAAGTGCAGTTTATGGGGAGCCCAGTATACTTTCTGTCAGGAATATTTCATGGGAAATATTAAGTACTTGTCATTAGGTCTTCAGAAACGCTATATCTTAATAGCACCTATACGTGTGACGCACGAATTCAGAGGTGATTTGTCACACAGAAGATTTGCAGGTTATTAGGAGCCGGAACATTTTCTTCAAGGGTTCAACATCGAGTGAAAACTTCGACAGTCTGATGTCCTCGCATGTTAAGAATAACTGTCTAAAAGCTTGTTTTTACTTTCATTTACGCCAATTTGTTCCAAGAAAGCCTGCCTAATGCAAATAAATTAATCCCAAGTATGTCCACATGGTGGCAGTGTCGCACTCGTTGTTCAGAATCCCCCAGTCTTTGCGACTCCAGTTCCAGGTTGTAAAGAAGAAACTCAGCATTATGTCTGTTTACCAAAGTGCTGTTTTTTTCTTTCAATAACTTGGCTTATCTCGATATTTGCCAATGAAAATTACTCATCAAATTCATGGTCAATCATAAATATCAACTGTAAGCGCAAGAATATTATGTTTGATTCCTAGTGGATCAAATTTGATTTTGCAGGCAGTATGATTTGCGTTTGTCAGGATATAGTAAAATGAGGGATTTTCCTACGATATTTGGCTGCAGCAATCATCGTTCCTCTCCGTTTCTGAAGTACATGTGGTTCGCATTTAAGCTGATGCAGTCACGATGCGGTCGGTTGCGTGTTGTCCGTGTGCATTGTTCAGTGTCTTTGGTCTGTAATAACTCGATCAGTGCAAAACTAAGTATGCAATAACCAAGTCACAAAGTACCACCAGTCGGCCCGTTATACAGTTTATATGATTTCCATTGTATGGAAATGCACTTTATACCCTAATCTGCTAATTGTAGTGTTTACTTTCAGGGTGACCGATGATGAACAGCGCTAAGTCAGGGTGACCATCTGGTATAACATTTTTCGGGTGAACCAATGGATATTTCGGCCGGCAAAGTTTATCTTATGGGACCCCGAAGTCTAGGGCCGAGTTTTAATCCCAGTCCAGCCCAAGGTGCAGCACTCAGTTGGTTCTTATGGACTGTTGCAACTGCACTCCTGACGCAGAAACAGGCCAGTATGAAGCAGGGTGAGAGAAATCGCACCCTCTCTGTCTCACGGGGCACCAAAGTGGGTCCTGTCCAAAACCCGACGCACAGGGCAGCGGAAGGGATGGGCTGGTGTGGCTTTGAGCGAACGGGGTCGGTGCAAGACCGACAAGCGGAGGCTTCTCGTCTAGATGCCAGCCGAGCGCAGGAAATGACATTGCCCACATCTCGCAATGCAGAGCGAGGGGTGTTTCGGCCGGGAGAGGGTGTTTCTAACTGTGAGTAGGACTGGTCCCGTTTCATATTTCACAGAAACAGTGGAAAAGAAAAAAAAGGAAAATTCTGGGACGTCTTTCTTCACTGTTAACTGGATTTTATGGAGTCTGTTTGTCTGAAAAATGAAAATCTCGTCAGTGGTAGCAATTCTCCTGATTAAAAGTTTTGCTGGAGGTAAGTGGGGACTTTTTTAAAAAAAACAAACTCTTAAAGACTTCCGATATCTGTCATTCTCAGCCAGACTCCCGTGGCTGGAAAGAAAGACAAAAAAAATTACTAGTGCACTAACTCAGGCTGACTGAGATCTCTGAAAATTTAACTATCGATATCTGTCGGATTATGCAATTTAAGGCGTTATTAGTGACTTATGTACTAGAAAAAAGGGTGATTACACAGCTATTATTGCTATAGTCAATGCTTGTGAATTGTGGAAATATCTACACAACTTATAAATAAATTTTTTTATAAATAGATTTTGTTGTGTTATTATATACATTAAGTGTATCGTTCTCCTTCCTAGAGTGAAGCCATAAAGATACAACGTAACTTTGTATTCACACTATTAAATGTTTATTAATTATCGAAACATCATATTTTAAGTCCTAAAAGCAGATTGGCAGCGGCTGTAGTTTTTATAACTGCTTTTAAAACCTTAGGTTTTGTAAAAAGTCAAAGAGTGGAACGAAATGATAGCTCATACGCGTAATTCTATACATACATATTGCTCTGCATTTTATTTTGCACTCAGTGATCCAGAAACTGTCTCCGTGATACGGTTATAGCATGGAAAATACATTTTCAAAGGGCAAACACGTTTTATAGGGCTTGAGGAAAAATACGCGATGCTAACGAGACGGATAAAATACTCAAGCAGCATTTTTTCTTGTAATTTTCTGAGATTGGATAACGGAACGCCTTCCCTCTCCGTGCTAAACTGTAATCTCTAATCGTACCCAAGCGAAATGGTGTTTCCCTGATACAATTTCTGTTAGAAAAACGACCTGAAGGTCCACCTTTAGCTATCAGTAGTGCAGCGTGACATGCTGTTTGTCTATCTCAACCATTGAAAACAACGAGTTGAGATGGTCTCTTTGCTGGAGGAGATGGTAAATCACATTTAGCGTTTGACTTCTTTTGAAGTCGGTACAACGGCAGCCCCTATATACACTGACAGTTGAAATACACCGTGAATCTGCAGAATTCATGCAAATTTTCACTGGACACTCTCTCTGCCTTTGTCTAGTTGGTTGTGCAGGACTGGATAAATCCCGACGAACACTGTGCTCTTCACACCCGGAGGTGTGCGAGGCTCTCAATGTCACCGTCACCCCAGGGCCGGTGGCCAGGGTCCTGGAGGGCGACAATGTCACCCTGTCCTGTCAGGTGGCTCAGCGGAGGAGACCCGATAGCGTCCTGGTGGTGCGCTGGCTGTTTGCCGCCTTTCCAGCCGATGAGGAGCAGCTCATCGTCAAGCTGAACATGCGGAGGGCCAAGTACTACGGCAACTACACCAAGCGCTTTGCCCGGCCCAAGATGCGCCTCTTGGAGGAGAGGCGGGAACAGGCCTATGGCCTGCTCATCCTCAACGTCTCCAAGGAGGACCGGGGCCACTATGTCTGCAGGGTCCAGGAGATCCGGCTGCACCAGAACCGCTGGAGGGCAGCGTCCAATGGCACGGCAACTGCAGAACTGAAAGGTAACCGTGGTGACGGACAACAGATGAACCTCATTGATGTTCGACCTGGGAGAAGGCAGAGGACCCAGCAAATGGCTGTTGATGTTAGCTTGGAAGGTGTCACGGGTGGAGAAGCCAACCTCAAGTTCTCAAAAATTACAAAGTGCACTTCTGCAATGGCCTACCAGACTGCTCCTGGTGGCTCTTAAAGTGTGTTTATCAGGCTGAACCCTGCCCAGATGATTTCGAGCACCTCCTGCATGTCGAAGGCTGATTCAGTGCATCAGGATGTAAGGATTGCCTCGGTGTGCAGAGGAGTTTGTGCAAGGGGGAACCACAAATCGCTGAAGGAGGTTCGGTGCAGCGTCGGAATGAGCCAGGGCCGCGTGTTCCATCAGCGACACAGATTGTTATGAAATCCAAGCACGCTGTTTCCTGGAGGGTAATTTTTTTTCTCTCCCCGTGGTGTCGATCTCGTGTTTGAGTTACACAGCCGTACCGTTTCCTGCCAAGGCAAACGGGCAGGAATGCAGACACGCGGAGCTCCGGGAGGCCGAGACACGGCATCACGCATGTGTTGGTTTTGGCGTCGCCGTCTGCTTGGACAGCGTTGGGTTTTTGGACTGACCCACTGCCTTGGACTTCAGGCTTGGAAGTCAGGCCAGCCATGGTGAGCTGCATGTGCTGCGGGGCCTCGAGACAATAGCGATTGGTGCACAAGTCCTCAAATACGTGGGGCTCATCCAACTAGGAACGGAACCTAGAGGAACCGTCAGACACATCTGTTGGATGTGTGATCGTGTGATAGCTAATCCTTACTGGACTGGAGCGTGAAATCGGCAGGCGATCAAACATTTATTGTTACAGTAAAACTCCTCGAACACTTTTATGCTAAGAAGGGCATGAAATTCAAGAAATAAGTGGAATCACAGTGGATCTCCTCTAACCTGTTATCCAACGCAAATTGAGGTGAACCTATGATTTCAGATGCAGGTGACTCTCTGGACAGAATGCCAAGCAATCAGAAGGGACCCAATCACAAACACATCTATGCAAGTTGTGGCGCCCCCAGGTGGCATAAAGCTATAACCAAGCTAACAGAAACAGCCATTTACTCTCTGTTCTACCCTCACGTCTAAAAAGAGAAATTTCAGTGGGAAATCACGTCCACGAAAGTATGACTGATATTTATGTGGATGGAAAGAAAGAAGGAGAGAGATGGAAAGAAAGAGACGGCCTGGCAGAAAATGTGCTAAAATTATCTCGCTGGTTTAACTGCAGTGCTATTCATTTTTTCCAGCCTACGCACTCGGTCAAATATATATCAAACCTTGAGTAAGCAGTGACTAAAATAATATTTGCTTAAATTTCTCTATCAGAGTCAATGAGCCGGTGCTGTGTGGGTGGAATTAGTGCTAAAAAAAGAGAATAATAATAATAATGAAACAACAATAGGTTCCTTAAATGTGTTATTCTGGGTGAAAGGAAAACCACAAAGCAGGAAGAGCTATCCGGGCCCTACATCAGCGTACAGAAATATCCGTGGAGTATCCCCCGACCTACAGGGATCACGGGTCTCCTTTGTGGGAGGGGGGCTCTGAGGGGTGCCTCCCTGCAGAGCTCACGGCTTTCGGCGGTTTCGGGTATTTCGGGAGGGACCTCTGGGTGTGAGCAGGGAAGAGGCCTGTTTTTAAGCCTGACCTCACATCTCTCATCCTAGAAACTGCACCCTACAATATAGTGCCTTTCCGACTCTGTTACAGCTGCTGCTCAGGGATAACCCCCCCTGTTTCTCCCCCCCCACAGTGCGCGTCCTGGCCACCACCCAGAATCGGGAGGCCATATGGCAACTGTTTGAAGGTGGGTCCTGATTCGCTACTGAAGGTAAAACCGGGAATAACTGTGGGCCAATGGGAATGGGGAGATGTACTGTTCTTGTCAGGTGATGCGAGGCAGGGGTACAGTCAAGAAATCCTGGACCCCCCTCCCCCGCTAGAGTTGCCATTTCAATCTGAAGAAATACAGGTTCCCAATGGTAGACAGAATTTGCCAAGCCTGGAGGCGGGGGGGGGGATGTGTTCCCCCACCGTAAAATCGCAGCACACCTCAGCGTATAAATGATTATTTTTCATATTTAGGGGCCCCTATGAAGTGCTGGGGCCCCTGACCCTGCTAGGGTATCCATGCACCTCTGACGCCAGCTAGTGGCTAAATGGAGAAGGACATGGGTTTTTTATTTATAGGGTTAATCTATAAAGCGTTGTGCTGAGACTGTACAGGTGGATAGGTAGTCTTGAACTGTTTCAGTATGTAAAGTTAAGTGGATTTAAGGTCGGCTACATACAATTTGTCAGGAACAGCTTTCGATTAGCTGATTTTGCTCAGTAAGTCACATGACCTCGGTAGCTCCGCCCCCTGCTCGTGGATGAGCGGCCTGCCCAACCCCAGCAGTCACGGCTCTTTCGACAGGGATGGGGGTGGAGGGGTGTGACTGGGCGGATCCCGAGCGTGACACATGGTGGAGCGTGAGCAGGCCTGCATTGCTGGCTGGCCTGGGAGGGGGTGACCGAGAGGCAATGCTAGCATTAGCGTTGGCACGTAGCGCAAGATGAAACACCCACTCGGCGTCACTTGGTACTTAGTGGTTATCCTCAATTTTTGCACGTTTATTTGTTTTTATGTTTTTTATATATATATGATCATATATATATATATATATATATATATATATATA